TATATATATATACACGGGAGCGTCAACGGACACGGGTCCGAATATATATGCACGGGACCTTAAGCGGACGCGTGTCCGAATAGACGCAGCCTTAGGAGACGTCTGCTTGTCGCCTGCCTGTAACGACCGACTCAGGATGATAAGGGCACAGAGTCAGAATAGAGAGACTGAAATACTTCTTTTTTTTTTACTTTTTGCTTTTTCCCCTTCCTCTGGTATCCTTAGGATGTCGAGGGGAGTGCAGCCATCGGTCTTGTGCTAGGTGTGTCCTCTGTGATAGATGTGGCCACTTTTAAGGACACGCGGGTTAACCCAGATTTCGGGGGTTTCCAGAAATCTTGACCTACACCAAAAGTAGGCATTACTCTACCTATAGGAGAAGTTTGGTTTCATTGGTGTGTATATTTGTTTGGTTAGAGAGAAAACTCTCCTTGTCTTTTAAAGAAACGGAACAAGGGGCAAAAACTTTACCTTCGATTTTCTCAAAACAGCATTTTTGGAATAACCCCATGTGCTTAGAAGCGACCATTTGTTCCAGAACCTTTTTACAAAAAACCCATTCAGCCAAGTCCATCTTGGTTTTCCTCTTGATTAGAAGCCAGATTCACGGGTGCCGTTGTTTATTCCTCCTGTCTTTGTTTTCTAGCAGCTTTCATCCATTATCGTGAAATACTTGATTAAAAAACATTAACACTTACTAACTAAATAACGAAATAAAACAGAATAAAGGGGGGGGGAAAAGTATCAAGTACAAACCAAAAATACCTACAAAAACAACATCGGCAACAACAACTACAATAGCAGCAACACCACCAACAACAACAACAACTACAATAGCAGCAACACCAACAACAACAACAACAACAATAACAACAATACTCCAAACGGGAGTCGATCTCACGTCTACTGTATACAACAGCGAGGATACTAACCTCTCCACCACAGATGCTCATTTGGGGGGGAGAGAACAGGGGGGGGTGCAACAGCGTATCTTGCCAACAGAGATGGGGTCAGGTGTATGGATTCTTTGACGTCATGTCTGAATACTGACGCAAGTTAGATTGACTGGAACGTTTGCTCAGATGATTAAGACATGCTGTAGAAAATTGAATTGTGATTTGAGGTTTGCTCGGACTTAGTTACAGTTTCTATAATTTAGGAGTACAGTGTCTATTCGGACAAGACACGACCCTTCTAAAGAAGGATTTTCCGTCTATAAAAGCATGTACATTGTATTGTATGTCGATTTTGGCCAAGAAATGAAACAATCACGATTAGTTCTCATCATTCTATAAATAGAAACATAAAATGCAATGTTATACAAACAGCAAAGATGTATTGGTCCAAAAAGAAAGAGAAGCACGTCATTCTTAAACAGAAAAAGGCCCTCACGCCTCACACAATGTACGGCCCTCACACAATGTGCGGCACTCACACAATGTACGGCACTCACACAATGTACGGCACTCACACAATGTACGGCACTCACACAATGTACGGCACTCACA